CTCCAGCCTCACACACCCTGGCCTCCAGCCTCACCCTGACTGGGGTCCCTGCAGCACTGTGTCCTCCCTTCTGCCTGCCAGAAGAGCAAGCGTCCAGCTCCTCACAGACCAACCAGCCCCTCTGCAGTCTCCAGGCAGGATGTCCCTGGCAGCCGTGGACAGACCCTGCTTTGTCACCTCTGTGGGGATGGGCAGCCACAGGCAGCTGCGAGTGGAAGGATTGTTGTGCAAGAAGTGGATCCATTGTACCAGGCAGGGAGAGGGTTCTGCTTCACTTGGCCTTACGGGCTGTGGCAAATGTGGCCTCGGCATGGACAATCTGCCCTTTGCAGGAGCCAGGAGCTGGGCAAAGCTGTGCAGCTCAGCTCAGAACTGGGGACTGGGCCCTGGGGTGGGTCCGTGCTGGATACAACACTCTCCCTGGGAGCTGACAAGCCATCAGAGGGCTTGCCCTGCTGGCAGTGTCCTTCCAGGTGGCCTGGTGCCACCACATGTGGACAATACCTTCAGAGATGGAAGCAGGTTGGACCCTCCCTGGGTCTCCAGCTCCTTGCCAGGCACTGGTGCCACTGGGCTGTCCCCTGCCCACAGCAGGTTCCTCACAGCCTGGGTGTGCTGGCACTGGCTGCCCCGGGGCCTGACAGGGAGTGTGTGACTGTGTCCCCTGGGAGACACTGAGAGCACTGACAACAAAGACAAGATGTCTTCCCCATACCCTTCAGCCCAGTCTCCCTCTCCTCAGGTTTGTCTTGGGAGAAACAAGGCTTATCCAGCTCCACCTGGCTCACCCTGTCTGCAAAAACAGCCCTTTGCCCTGCACCCTCCCTGCTGCTCCCTGGGGTCCCACAGGCAGCCACCACCTTGGGAGCTGGGGGGCCCCAAGGTGACCTGGTCCCCAGTCAGGGACTGGAGATCCCCAGGCAGGGGCTGAAGGTCCCCAGGGAGGGGTTGAAGGTCCTTCCTTGCTGGTGAGGGGGAGGGATGGCCCCAGGGAGGGCTGGGGGCACTGGGAGGGCCCTGGGCAGGGCTGGGAGATAGTCTCTGAATGTTATCAGCCCATCGTCTCAGCCCTCCGGCAGGACAGGCAAGGGCCATAAAGGGTTGTCCCTCTGCCCTGGATACAGGCAGCATTTGGGGAGGGAGCCAGGGTGGACAGCATGGGACAGCTGCTGTGCCCTGGATCCTGCCTTCTCCTCTGCCTCCTCGCCCGGTTCTCCATTGCAGCCTCAGGTGATGGGTCATTTGGGACAGGGAGGGTAGGAGCCCTTGGTGGGAGGTGGGGCTGGTGCCACTTCTGGAGGGGGCTCCGGGGACCCTGTCACCTTCCCATGGGATACCAGCGAAGGCAAACCCTCCCAGTCACCTCAGGGTGGCTTGAAACCCCAACTTTTGAATGGGTTTTTCTCAGCCCCCACCAAATCCAGCCCTGACCCAGTTCCCCCAGCCCTGCTGTCCCTGGCAGTGGCTTTGGATCAAGTGGCTTGATAGCCACAGCCCACTGTGATTACCTGGACATGACACACTCATCACTTGGGGGCTGATGCTTTGGCATCTCATCCCCTCTGCCAAGAAGCATAAGGAACTTCCCTGCCAAACTGTGCCTCAGTTTCCCTCTCTGCAGACAGGTTCTGGGCAATGCTGGCTGATCCCCAAAGGTTTCCTGGCCCCTTTGGGCCCCCAGGAAGGGAGCTCAGAGCAGCTGAATTTGCCTGGGGTGGAGATGCCCACTCTGATCCTGGGGGAAGATGTCCCTGGGGACCTTCAGGGTGCCCAATGCCCCAACAAGCCCCCAGCTCTACTCTTGCCTCCAGACACCGAGAAGACCCCAGACTACTGGAATGAAGGGGCCAGGAGGAGGCTGGAATCAGCCCTGTCCTTGCAGCTAGCAGCACAACGGGCCAAAAATATTATTCTCTTCATGGGTGACGGTGAGTCCCCCAGGTCACAGCCCGACCTCACAGCTCCACAGCTTTGCAGCAGCCAGAGGACATGGCTGACAAAACGATGGGGCTGGTGCAGGTCCATTCCTCCCAGACTGGCCCTGGGCACTGTCCAGGGAGGGCAGGACTGTCCCTGATCCCAGCCCATTGCCACCTGGTGGCTCTGCTGTGCCCCACAGGCATGGGCTTGTCCACCATGTCAGCAGCTCGGATCTACAAGGGGCAGCTGGCTGGCGGCTCGGGCGAGGAGAGCGTCTTGGCCATGGAGACCTTTCCCCATGTGGCCCTGGCCAAGGTGGGAAGGGCAGCACTGAGGGATAGCTGCTCTGCCCCTGCCCAAAACTCCACAGGCCCCCACTTTCTTCCAGACCTACACCATCGACCGGCAGGTGCCTGACAGTGCTGGCACGGGCACAGCCTATCTCTGCGGGGTGAAGGCCAACGCCAAGACCCTGGGGCTGAGTGGGGCGGCCACTTACGGCAAATGCCGCAGCTCCTTTGGCAACGAGGTGGACTCCATCCTCCACCGGGCCAGACTGGCAGGTACAGGACAGTGGACAACCCTGTCAGAGAGCCTGGCATGGCACAGCAGGGCTGGACAAGCTCCCCATAAACCCTTGTCCGCGCTGCAGGCAAGTCGGTGGGCATCGTGACGACCACGCGGGTGCAGCACGCGTCCCCCGGGGCAGCCTATGCCCACTCGGCCAGCAGGAGCTGGTATGCTGATGCCAACATGCCCAAGGAGGCCTTGCGGGATGGCTGCAAGGACATCGCCTACCAGCTGGTGCACAACACAGACATCAACGTGAGCCGGGAAGCGGGCATGGGAGGGAAGGACACTGGGGACATTGGGAGGGTCTGCTGAGCTGTAGGGCTGTGGCAGTGCTGGTGGCAGCTCCCTACTGCCTGGCAGGTGATCCTGGGTGGTGGGCGGATGTACATGACCCCCACGCGGACCCGAGACCCTGAGTACCCAGAGGACTCGGCTCAGAATGGCATCAGGAAGGACGGCCTGGACTTGATTGCTGAATGGCTGAGTTCCAAGCAGGTACCGTGCCAGGGTGGAGGTGACTTGATGCTGGGCACGAGGCACAGGGTGTTGGCACTGGCTCTGTTCTCGCTGGCAGGGTGCCCGCTATGTCTGGGACAAGAAGGGCCTGGATGCAGTGAAGGATGACTCCGTAAGCCACCTGATGGGTAAGAGCATCACTGACTGTGCCACTGCAACACCTCCTCCTCCTCCCCACTTTGGCATGCTTGTAGAGGCATAAAGCAGCACTGATGTGGACCTCCCAAACCTATCTCCCCCAGGCCTCTTCGAGCCCAAGGACATGAAGTATGAGCTGAACCGCAACAGCTCCATGGACCCCTCCATCGTGGAGATGACAGAGAAGGCCATTCGCATCCTGCGCAGGAACCCCAACGGCTTCTTCCTCTTCGTGGAAGGTGAGTAGCCCCAGGTGGGCAGTATGGCTGGGGTGGGACATGAGTCCTGGAAGAAGGTGGGTGTCCCAGAGGACCGGGTAGTGGTTGACAGCTGTGTTCCCTCTGTAGGTGGCAGGATTGACCATGGCCACCACAATGGCCGGGCCAAGCAGGCGCTGATGGAGGCCGTCATGCTGGACCGGGCAGTGGCGCGGGCAGGCGAGCTCACCTCCCCTTCTGACACCTTGACTGTGGTGACAGCTGATCACTCCCATGTCTTCACCTTTGGGGGCAACACACTGCGTGGCACCTCCATCTTTGGTGGGTCTTGGGTAGGGGTGATAAACATCCCTGTTCCCACCTCCCCTTTTTGCTCCCACTGGAGGTTGAGCTGGCCAAGGTGGGGAGCAGGGGGGAGGTACCCAGATGGGACAGGGAGTGACAATGTCTTTCCCTGTACCAGGGCTGGCCCCCAAGAAAGCCAAGGACAAGCGAGCCTACACCAGCATCCTCTATGGCAATGGTCCTGGCTACAGCATCCGCAACGGGGGACGCCCAGCTGCCAGCCTCCCTGCTGCAGGTAGGAGGCTGCTGGGGATGGGATGGGGGCATGGGGTGGCTGGGGGCAGCAGCCCAGGGGGTGCCAGTGCCACCGCATGGCTCAGGAGTCACTTAGGGAGGAATTGCCCTGACCCTGGGGTGATGGGACCTGTGCTCCCATCCCTGCGATGGGTTGGGTGAGCCTGCTGCCCCCAGCCCTGTTTCTTCTGCCCTCCTCTGCAGAGGACAAGGACTACAGGCAGCAGGCAGCTGTGCCCCTGGAGACAGAGACCCACAGCGGGGAGGATGTGGTGGTGCTGGCCCGGGGTCCCATGGCCCACCTGTTCCACGGGGTGCAGGAGCAGCACTACATTGCCCATGCCATGGCCTATGCCGCCTGCCTTGAGCCCTACGCCACCCAGCCCGGGTGCATGGCAGCCCGCAGGGCCTCCCAGGGCACCCAGTGCTCCCCACAGCCCCTACTCACCCTTCTGGCCCTCTGCATGGCTGCCCACATGGTAAGGGGCTGAGCCATCTGAGCCCCACTTCAACCCAGGCTGCCTGGATCACCCCTGAGCTACCCCCAGCTGCTTCATCTGGGGGCCTTGAAGCTGGGTCCCCATTGTGACCAGGATCAAGGGGTGCAATAAAACACAGGTTGTTCGTCTCCATCTGCCACGTGAGGGTTTGCAGTGGTGGTCACCATCTAAGGCACTGCCCCGTGCCTCAGTTTCCCCAGGTGGTCATGGCTCCTAATTTCCCCGCAACACCAGCACTGGACACACTGAGGTAAAGGAGGTGATGAAATGAGCGAGTGGAGACAATGTATCCCCAGACTTTTCCCAGCTGGGGCACAGTACACAGGGTTGGTACCTTCCTGGCAAGCGCTGAGCAAGGAGCAGAGTTCTAGACCGGATCAATTAATTTATTGCTCAAGAAAGAGCTGTGCAGAGAGCAGAGCTGTTCAGTGCATGAGTGACCCCAGGTGCTCCCAGTACCTCTGTTGCCCCAGTTCTGATGCTCAGCACTGCTTGTGCCACCCTGGGCCAGGGCACATGCCCACCTGGCACCACAGCCTAGATGGGAATGACACCTGCCGGGCACTGCCCGTCACCTCACCCCTGTATCTGCACCCCAATTCAGTCCATCCCCCAGCAGCAGTACGATGATGTGCCAAGGAGGTGCCTGCAGACCAGCCCCATGGCCTTTGTGCTGCCTGCGCGGCAGGACGCCAGAGTATGGGAGATGTGCAGAACTTCCCCACACACCCCACAAGGGCTGATCCTGGTCCAAAGTCCCTCCCCAGTTCTGCTGGAGTTGCGGACACTGTCAGTGGCTGTTGGCTACCGGATCTCACCATGCAGCTCCTGACAGCCCTCATCCTCTGCCTGGGCCTCTGGGCAAGGCTCAGCGCTGCTGTCATCCCAGGTGGGGACAAGGATGGGGATGGGTGCTGGGTTGGCTGCAGTGGGTGCCTGGGGAAGTGGGGCACCTGGCAGGGTATCAGCCTTACTGACCGCAGGGAGCGTTTGGGGGAGGGGGTCAGGGCTTGCCTGGCTCTGCAAGGGTTAATGAGGGCTTTTCTGGGGACCTTAAGCCAGTTTTCCTCTGTGGGATCAGGTTCCTTCTTGCTTCTGGACTGGAGGGTCAGGGGAGTTGCCTGTAACCTCTCCTCTCCATGGATGTGGCCCCATCCCATCTGTCAGTTTCCCCCATCATGTCCTTTTTTGCTGCCCTTTCCTTCTCTGCCCTGGCTCACCTGAGCTGGGAGGTTAATGCAAGCCCATATGGCCTTTCCCCACCCCAAACAGGACCCTGACCTGCTTGGTCCATGTGAGAGACAGCCCCAGCATGGGGATGCACAGGGAACAGGTACCCCTGGGATGCAGGTACCCCAGGGGTGTGGGTGTCTTGGGGCTGTGGGTGCTGGCAAACTGGGACTGACAAGTGCTGCCCTGTCCCAGTGGAGGAGGAGGAGCCATCCTTCTGGAACAAGCAGGCAGCTGCAGCCATCAAGGCCTCCTTGAAGATCCAGCCCAAAATCAGCCAAGCCAAAAACCTCATCCTCTTCCTTGGGGATGGTGAGTCCCACTGATAGCCCCAGCAGGCAGGCTGGCAGGGCCAGTGCCCCACAGAGTGGATGTGAGGAGCGTACCTGGTCCAGAGGGTGACCAAGACCCTCTCTCCTCACCCAGGATTTGGGATCCCCACCATCACAGCCACCCGCATCCTGAAGGGGCAGGAGAAGGGAAATCTGGGCCCCGAGACCCCCCTTGCCCTGGATGCTTTCCCCTACGTGGCTCTTTCCAAGGTAATCCCCCCCCACTCTGGGTATGGGGCCAGAGTGATTTCAGGCACAGGGTCAGGGTGATGCCCATGGGGCTGCTGCCACAGAAGCATCCCAGGATGCAAATATGGGGTGCACAGGGTCCCATCCCATGCCACACTTGTCCTTGGGGGAGCAAATGAGTGTGGCAAGAGGTGCTGCAGGGGGTACCCCACCAGGTGCCTCTGCCAACAGCCCTCTGCCCTGAGCCTGGCACGTGTCCTCGGCAGACGTACAACGTGGACCGGCAAGTCCCTGACAGCGCGGGGACGGCCACAGCCTACCTGTGCGGGGTGAAGGGCAACTACCAGACAGTGGGGCTGAGTGCAGCCGCCCGCCACTACCAGTGC